TGTGTATCTATGTGTGTGTGTGTGTATGTATATATGTGTGTAATCGAGGATGTACGAGACTCTACTAGAGATCTGATCCACCTCGCCCCCCCCCCCTCCCCCCAGCACAAGCTATTGTGCACTGGGTGCTAACGGAATGATTCGTTTGCTCATGAGGTGTGACAGTTCCTGTGAACTATCACTACGCTTGTCATCCTTGGGACAAATTGAAATGCCGTCGAGAGATTTGAGCTCATAGGCGCGTTTCTATCTCGTGCAGATGTATCGATATGTGTGAGCGGTGCGTATATCTGCTTTGTTTGATAAGTCCAGCTTACGCCATTTCTCATGCCATCTGTATCCACAAAGCACGCAATTCCGGAGGACGTGGTGCCGTTGTCGCAAGTATAATTAGGAGATACGTATAGCCATCAGCTCAGGCGCATCTCCAAACGTGATCTGAAGCGACCAGGAGAATGCCATCGTGGATGGAAATTGGGACACACCGGGCATGACATGTACTGGGGTTTTAAAATACCCTAAAACCTCCGTCGACGCAAGGCCCTTACGATATTTCTGGATAGCAAGCAATCGTACACACTTTGCGGCATTATACCATCTAAAAATCTATGGGACGCCTCCTGCAGGCAACAGACCTCCGAGTATCGAGGTGTTTTAAGATTAAAGGTGAGGAATATCAGCTGCACGGCTACCCGGGAGCTTGGAAAGCATTGCACGGTGCAAGTTTCCGTCACGATTAGACTGATATTGGTTGGCGATACAAGTTCGCGAATCCATGAACTACCTGCCAAGTCAGTTTGTGCAATTCTTTCTAACGGTACACCAACTAACATTGTCTCATCACTTTTCTCGCTCTCACGGCAATAGATGTGTACAGACATCTTAGTGTTCCTTGCATTGTTTATTCAAGTATTTCTCGTTGACCTCTGATTGTGTTCCTAGATCCCTAACCTGCTGTTGCACATAGTTTTTGCGCATCCCATATAGTGATATATTTCTCACCCAACCCGCTCTCTAAAGTGATGTAGTAGGGCGCAGCGGACGATATATCGTAGAATGCTGGATCTATGCTTATGTTCATGTATTCTTCTGTTTATTCGCTATATGCTTTTGTAAACATTGTGGAAGTGTGTGTCATGCTATTCTGTATATTTGTCCAAGACTTCTGCGCGTGTCCACTGCTGTACTATCCACTTCTTAGTGTAGTAAACACGGCGACATACACAATTTAACAAATAAAGGTTTTCTTTTTTATTGTTTTCTCGTGCGAGTAAATACGGCGACTTACACAATTTAACAGCTAAAAGTTTTCTTTTTTATTTCTCGTGCTGTACCATTTTGACCTTCAATCTTGTGCCGACAGCATGACATTCTGGATAATAAATCGGTTGTATGTTTAAGTGTATCTATGTACTATGCTCTGTAGGTGACCTACTCTGTAGTTGACCGAGCAAGTATGTATAGGTGCGGATCTGCTGCGCTTTTTTCGCTCGTGCGCAAATCCTCGGGTGTTATTTATGACACTATGAACTCAGTCGTGACAGATGAACCATGTGCCACTGATTGCGCCACACTTAAATTGCCATTATCTGCATATGGATTAGGCCCATCCCCCGCAGTCGACAGTGCGCTTTCGACAGGTTCTTATCTGTTGTTGTTCTTCCTGTCCTCGGCACCTACATCTAATAAGTGGACTATACTGAGGCTCCGCCCATAGAGCCATTCGCCCGTAGTGCCCGGTAAATGGCCTTGCCGTGGAGTTTTTTGAACCGGGCCATTGAGTCATTTTCCAATAAATTTGTCACACTGCGTGCCGCTTCATCAAACATTGTTGCGAAGCAGTCGTCGGCCGCCAGCAACCGTTCAATATTGACCACACACCCATAGGACAGATTGACCTGGAACTCAGCCGACGACCGGATAAAACGATGGTACATGCGGTTGGCAACCTTGGTTATTTCTCTGTCACACTGCACATTTGCAACCTGTTCCATATCGCTTGTGCTTATATCCGAGTGTGTGTCTCCTAAGCACTTAGACTCTGTCACCTTTAGCAGTGGAGGTCCTTGTACCCCAGCGCTCCCGTTGGTGAAATTATTCTTGATCTTGTCCTTGCTACTCTTGTGCTTGATTGAACCCTCCGCCACTGAGGTATCCACAAATACTTGCTCAACCATTTCAGAGACTAATGTAGTACCTTGAGACATCCGCCTCTTATTGGATGCAGTAGTGCTCTGTGTACTGGCGATCTTGTCCGTCGTACTGCTTGACATGCACATCTCCGTCATGAAACTAGATCGAAATCTGTTGATGGTCAGCAAAAATAGGAAGTTCTCCGTCGCATACTCACGACTGAGATGCTTGTAGAACATGCTGGTCAGAATTATATTTCCAAGAACCATGGTCACGGGTAACGGCTGGTCAACTGGAAAATACGCAGTGTTGTCGTCGTCTTCGTCGATTGTGTCTGGTCGCGTGCGCCCACCCATACCAGCCGAGCTCTTCAGTCCAACAGCACTCGAGTCAATGTTGTCGCCAGCAACATCTTCAACCTGCTCCCTATTCGACAGCAGAAGCTCACGTTGAGTGCGCATGACGGGGATGAGTGTCAACAACACAGGCACCACGATGGACAGCACATGTACAGAGAACAGACAGCCGTAAACATAGTGTGAACACGCATTTGATGCCAGTACTTGCGAGGGCTCGGGGGGCGCATATCGGCAGCCCAAGAGAACCACAGAATCGCCCAATAGAATAAGAGTTGCTATACTAATCTCAATGGTCAGGAAGAAGACGTCCACTACTATCAGAGGGAACACCAGGATAACTGTGCTGATTTGCGCGGCGCAAATGGACACTCTGTACCAGAACAGAGACTCATTAAGTGCTGCATCGCCCGCGTCAGGCTCATTCACAGCGAGGATGGTGGTCAGGGTTATAAACCAAGGTGCACATATCAGCGCATAGATTATTAGAATGTGCTTATTCTTCTGATACCTTCCCAGTTTAGTAAAAAGTGATGACTGCCACCACAGATACCGCACTGTGCCGCTCGCGTCACTATCACTTCTATCAAGCACGCGCTCGGTATGATTGCAGTCTGAATTCTTCTTGTCACTAGGAATTCTTAGCAACGACGTCTCATCATGTAATAGACTTGTAATGTGTTGCTGTTGGATTGATTTGATGGCTATATTGACTATGCGTGTAGTGACAGAGCACAGGAACAACGTTTGCAGACATAGCATGAAAACGGTGACACCATAGGCTGCTGAGTTGGGGATCCACGCATTGTATAACAGACACAGAATAGTCATGAGCCCAAACATAGGCACCTGCATCCACAATATCAAATACGGTGCGCGCTCCGAGATCAATGTGTATCGTCTTCGCGAGAAAAATAGGGGTACTGCGAAGATGAAGATGGCGCAGAAGCAAACGTACACAAACATTTCTGTTGTGATTGTCAACGCCATGTTGTCAATTCAAATACTATTATTCAAAATATTTTAAATTTGTTTACGAAATGACTAGCAAAACCTTTGAAGTTGCGATGTATATATGTTATTTCACAGATAGTTGTTCGATCGGCGTATATAAATACAAGACATAGATGAAGGATTTTGGAAGTATAGTTCAGTAAAGCGATAGATTCGGAAGCTTAGTTGGATAATTACAGGACGCCAGAGGAATATTTATCTTTCTTTTAGTTCCATTTTGTTTTTTGTTTTTTTTTGTCTCGTTTTTTTAGATAAAATATATAAAACAACGAGTAAATATGGGTTTTTATTTCTTTTCTACAATTATTTTGTTCTTGTTTTGTCCTTGTTTTGTCCTTATAAGTTTGTTTTTTTTTTAAACCAACATCTTTCTTTTGCTATAAATACCTTTTCCAAAACAAAACAAAAATTAACCCAATTCGGCCCTGAGGGCTCGAGCCTCGAGGCCGAATATTAAATAGCAAATATTTAGGTTTGTTTTTATTTATTTATTTGTTTTTAAAACATTCCTATATATAAAAAATAGGATACAGTCATACCTGTTTATATGTCCTTCTCTTTAAGGTGTCTACCTCTTTATATGTACAATTTCTATTTTGGCCAACCCCCTATATATGAGTCAGGTCTTTTTAGACCGGTCCTGCAGCCTGCTCTTGGACGTCCGACTATTAATATCACTGATTGGAACTGAGCTAATCAGGAGCTAAATGCTCTTTTTTAAATTTGTGCTGTTCATCATAGTGCTCCGGCCATCCGGTCACTGCGGTCAGACCGTCAGAGGGTCGGTGAGACTCAGACTCCGGGGTCATTCGTATATTTATCTTCTTTTTTTTAAGTTTTTACAGGTGTGAATATTTCACCTTCCACCTTAGCTTGACGGTAGCTATCTATAATACATACACTAGAGTACGTACTACAATAGATCCTGATGGGAGACACTTCTAGTGGTGAACGCTGTTGTGCGAAAGGATGCACTACAACGCACCCAGTGGGTGGTGTATATAAATGTGCTGGTTGCGATCGAAGTATGCATGCCTTTTGTGGCGTGCATCTTGGTGAGGGCTATGGCTCAAATTCAATCGGTTACTGCCTGTCTACAGATAAATGCCAGCCACCGGATGACATGTGGGAGTTTGGTTTCACTAATAACAGACAGACAGAGCCAGACGAATTGACACAAAACGCACCTACAACGATAGATAAGCTCACTTTGGTAAGAAGAAGAAAACATATAAACAGACTGTAATATCAAATGTGAGCTCCAATACAACAAAATAAATCACTCTAATAAACAAAGTTAAAGGTGTCATCTAGCGTACAATCCAGAAAGCGGGATACAGCTTAGACCTATCATGGAAAGACAGCTATCGTAAGAATTTAGTTAAGGAGGCCGTGCGGGTAGCGCATGCATCATTCGGCGTCGGTATCAAAACAATACGAAGGTTCATGGAGTCTGGAGAGAACATACTCAGTCAGTCTTATGAGGTGCATGCAAAAAAAGAAATATCGAGAAAGGAGAGGTACACATCACGAGTTCGAGAAGCGTTTGATTGAGTGGGTCGGTAAATAAGGTTTAGAGAAGCAGGTTTTAGTGTAAGTCAGGGCTTGATCGTCACGAAAGGGGTATTTAAAGAGAGCGCCTAGAATACCTCCTGGTGTGACCCATACTCCCATAGGTTGGACCCCGAACCTGATGGTATGAAACTGACCCAGACTTGTCTTACAAAAACCCGGGAACAGGGCATATAAAGAGGAATGACTGTATCACTAATACCTAGAATATAGAAATCCTACGAATCGTAGGATTTTCAAAAAATTGGCCATACAATTTGGCCCTAGAAAAAAAGTGGATTTTTTTTTTGATATCCTACGAATCGTAGGATTTTGGAAGCCTTTGACTTTGGCCCTTATTTACACCCATTTAGATATGTCTTAGGCCTATGCTCTATCTCGCAAATGGGTTTTTAGTTCACTGGAGAAGTGGAAGCCTCATCGCGGAATAGCAGAAGTACAAGTATATCAAAGGATGTTATGGATACCAGTGCGGGCGACGATGAAGACGACTCTAATGAGCAGGACCTCGACGATAGTATAGGAGACGACTCCGATGAACTATTTCATGCATTAGGCCTCACAGGATAAATAAGTAAAAAGGACCGCGGGTGTATCTGGTTGCCGCGGACTGCAGTGGGCGGGGTGAGGCCCACTCCACCTACAACAGTAACAGTGTTGATACTAAACATACATAATAAACAAAACAAAGTGTAATAAGCAGTACATAATGCACCCTTTAAGCCTATTTAACCATACAACCCAGTTTGTTTTCAAAATAGTGATAAAAAAATTGTATGTTTTCCAAAACAAAATAAAAATTTATAATTTTAATGAAATAAATATATGGCAATTTAAATTTTTTTAGACCGTCTTGTGAAACTTACGAGTCTCTTTTGGATCGATTTTACTTATTTCTGCCCCATTTATTATGGCTTCATATTCAAATGGGCAGAGTATGCAAAATATAAAAATTGATGAAAAATAAATTTCCTGATCTTTAAGGGACAACGGGTCTGATGAAAATTCGGAATTAGAAATCCTACGATTCGTAGGGTTTTACGCTGGGTACCCCTTCCTGGTACAACTTTTTTTTGACGCCTTTTGGCTGCTTTTGTATGAAATATTACGCTTCGTAGGATTTTCCAGCGGTACTAGTGATATAGATCGGCCTGAACTTTACTGACGGTGTATTTTAAAAAAGTATTTATCTGTTTCTTGATTAGTGATTCCAAACGAAGGCCCATGGACCCAAGGGCCGAAAGAGGCCAAGAGTCCAAGTCTCCAAGTCCCAAGACCCGACAGGCCGACACTGTCACAGAAAAAATATCAAAATAATACCACAGTCCACACGTTTGCTCCGAACATCCTTGGTCCCTGAGTAAATACTAAAAATACCGTTGTCCCTTGATCAAATCTTTTTACTATTTACTATTTACTACTCTCTCAAAACTTCAAGAGTGACTTGAGATTTGAGACTTGTGAAGTTGTGAATTGATACATAGTTTGATACTGATATAGTTGAGTCTGTTCAACTGTTATGTTGAGACTATTTTTTTATAAACAAATAGAGCCTGGCAGCCTGCCAATCTGTCTCGCGTAAAACTGTATAAAAAAAATTTATCAAAATATCAAAAATGTGTGTTTCACCGTTTCAACTTTCACGTCACTAAATATTTTTACACAAAATGACAAATTGTAGGCTATAATTTATTTTTTTACTTACGTTTTTTAAAAACCTTATGCGTTTTTTTTTAAATCAAAACTATGTATTTAGTATTTACAATATTTTTTTAAGACCAAATACATATGTAGTTGATGTCAAATAAATTATAATATTACATAATGTTATGTATTTGTTTTTAAAAAATATATAGTTTTGTACATTATTTATTAGTCTTATTTATTTTTTAAATACAGCTCATAAATTGAGTACATTCCTACTGAAAAGTATTTTCTTTTAAAACAATACATATTAAAACCTACAAAAGCTATCAGCATCCAGCCAACCAGCCCAAAAGAGGAATGTTTGTAGTAGTCTTACTACTCTCTATTTACTAGAGTACCGTTCTTTTTTTTTTAACTAAAAACTAGATATTTAGCTTCAACGTATGTACTACATATAACATATGTCTATGTAGTATGTACTGAGTCCCAAAATATAATAATTTAATGCCTAAATATTTATGAAATATTTATGTTTCTTCAGATGACTACATATGATAATTTTGTTTAAAAAAAATGGTGATGAAACAAATACTGGAATTCATTCTTTTAAAAATTCAAAATACAGTATGTACATGTAGCCATAAATAGCCCATAAGCCAGCTGAGTGAATAGTGAATACAATATGCATATTACATTCCCCAATGTCTACGAGTCTACGCATTGTCAAAAATACATACTCTATACTCTACTTGCTAGAAGAGTAGTCTACAGGCGACATATGGGGGTGTCTAGGGCTTTTTCCCTTTTGACTATCAACCTTTTCTTATATCACATATGTATTGTTTCGGTCGGTCATACTCCTCGGTGATATATAAAACAGCCTACAATCTTCATTGGTGATTCAAATATTCCATTGGCCATTCCATTGGTCCCCATTTATGTTTGGGAACAAAACTATGAACTTTACCATCCCAAAATCGTAGTATTCTCATTGATATGATGGTTATTATTAACAGTTCTGTGAAAATCAGTCAAACGCAGGGTCATAATGCCAGCACGTATTATATGACTTTGTGTGACCCGCGATGTTTCTGGGTTCAGGGCAAGTTTCCATTGGATACCGTAAACTCAGCCTATAAAATTGACTGGATGCCCCGCCTAAGGAATTTGCACTACCTACTGGGTCGTAGATTATGAACACAGAGAACAACACGAGAAAATACAATATTGTAGTCCACAAAACACGCTAAAGTAGTATGTAGCTTACTATAATCATGCCTAGTGCCGAGAACCTAGTTGTATACAACGCCATCACGCGTAAGTTATTGCAATGGTTCAGACCCAATTATGATTTTGAACAACATCCTAATTTAAAGGACAATAATGCAGAACTCAGAGAAATACTCTTGGCCACTCAGCCAGATGATCTCTGTCGATACTTTATCGAACTTTTGTATGGAGTACAAGTTCCTGGTCCAGACGATCGACCCACACTAAAGAGACCCAATGGTATACTATTTGATAAGAAAGCAAAACCCTACACGAAGTATTTAACATTCAAGAGGATGTTGACATTAGTAAGCTAGTTGAGAAACAACAAGTGCTGGTGATACGGGATGGTAATGATAGTTTTAGGCGGAGAATGTTCAAATAGGAATGTACAAGATCTTCACAACGGGATAATAGGACTGACGGCTGAAGTGCGACATTTAAAACAAATGATGAAAGAAGATAAACTAGAGTATACTGCACAAAGTACAAGACTAAGAAAGTTACTGCAAAGAACCAAGAGAGAGATGGCAGCAGGTTTTCATCGCTTAGATTTACCATACAG